CTTCGGGTCACCCCCCACTTTTTCTTTTTTTCCTGGATTATGGCATGGGCTAGTGCCGTCAAGCTGCGTCCGCTGTCCCATACGCAGCTGAACGACTACAAGGCCCGACTTACAGTCAAGGCGGAGTCCTCGGTAAGGAACTTTCCCCGTGATAAACTTTTTAACGTTATTAAGAATGCTTTGCCCAGTTTTTCGGGTTCGGACTTGGAGGCGTTCTGGAAAGCTGAACGTAATGGTTGCTGGTTTTTAACCTTTAACCATCAATCTAAAGCGGACATATTGCTCCAGACTCAATCGTTACCATATGAGAATGGCCATGTCTTATTCTCCATGTACCAGCGGCAGGTCGTCACGCTGAGGGTCCATTGGTTGCACCATACTGTGCGAGAAAGTTATGTTGGCGAATATTTCTCAAGGTATGGTAAAGTGCTTAATATGTCCTATGATTCCTGTGTTCTCCCTGATGGGGCTAAGGTGTGCAGTGGTGTTCGCCTTATTACCATAGAGTTATCCGAGAATGAAAGGAATCTTCTCCCGCATATTGTGAAGATTGGCGATGGCATGGCCATGTTGGTCACTGCCCCGGGCCGCCCTCCTATCTGCCTCCGATGTGGTGAATCTGGTCATCAGCGATACATGTGTCCTCAGGGTCAAGCTCGTGTCAATCCTGCCAGAGCCAGTCAACAGACAGGTGAGAGTACTGTTGTTCGTCCTCAATCTCCTCAGGTGTCTGATGGTGTGGTGCAGGGGGGTGTGGAGACCAGTGATCAGGTCAGTTCTGAGGATGGTAGTGTGGTGGGGGAGGGCCTTTCGGGGGAACTTGAGGTGGATTCCGTAATTGAAGTGGAAGTGGAGGGTGGTGGTGAAAGGATGGAGGTCCAGGAAGGTGAGGATCCTGAGGCGCCAGCATTGCCAGACGGGAGTCAGGATCAGGTTTCTGTGTCAGGGGAGACAACTACCGTCGACGTTCATGTGGATGGGGAGACGAATGAAGGTAACGTTGTGAGTGAGGTGCTCGACCTGTTTTCACAGGAAGGTGATGCGGCTTTAGGTGCTTTACCCCTTGCTTCCACCGTTGATGATGATGATGGATTTCAGGAAGTCAAGAGGAAGACCAGGTCACGGTCGGAGGGAGGTGGAGGACCTAAGAAGTTCAAGTCTCATCTTGTGGGTGACGTCAGTCAGGCTGCATGCTCGGCCATTACTCCTCCTCGTTCCCGCATCACAAGGTCTACTGTGGATGTTGCGGAGGTGCCTGATCCTCCATAAGTTAAGTACTTTTTTGTGTTTCTGATGATGAATTTGGACATGTCCCTCGACTATGAGACAGATGGCGGATTTAATTCACTTCTCCCGTCTTTGGGAGTCTTTTTTGCATTGTCTGTATTTAACCTGTTTGTTGATGTCGTTTCCCTCCAACCATAGTTTTCATGTATAATTTTCTCACTATTAATTGTAATGGGTTATTGAATAGCCCAAGTAAACTAAATACTTTATCTCATAAATTTAATTCTACTGGCATTGACTTTCTCTTTCTCCAAGAGACCCATGTGCATTCTTTGGCTTTGGCTAGATTTTTTGAGGTTAGGTTTAATGGGACAGCTTACTGGTCTTTTGGGTCTCATAATAGCAGGGGTGTTGGTTTGATTATTAGTAATAATTGTGGGTTCGTAATTGATAAATACCATTATGATGTTGATGGTCGATATATTGTTGTGGATATTTCTATTGGTACGTCCAGAATTAGATTAATTAATGTTTATACACCTAATGTACCCGCAGAACGGGTTGAGTTTTTTAATCATATTGCTCATTATTTAGTTACTAATAGACATTTAATCTTCGGTGGGGATTTTAATTGTGTGCTAAATAAAAAATTGGATAAGGTTGGTGGTAATCGGGATTCGGTACAGCAGGGGGTTAGTATTATTAAGCAATGGGTCTCGGACTTTTCACTATCTGATGTTTTTCGTTTTCTCTTTCCAGATTTAGTTGCTGTCACTTGGTCTAACACTTCTGGTATTGGTTCTCGCCTTGACAGGTTTTATTTCTCCTCTCATCTGTTGCCTGCTGTCGACACTTCGACCATCACTCCCTGTGCTTTTTCCGATCATGATTATGTGTCGGTAAGTCTTAAGGATTTTGAGGGTGTAGATTTTGGGCCTTCCTACTGGAAGTGTAATAGTTCTATTTTCGATCCAGCCTTCAAATTGTTGTTTACAGGTTTTTGTCGTAGTCACATTCCTCCTTTAGAAAAAGTTTCCCTTGCTTGGTGGGATAGCTTCAAAATTCAAATTCAGGCATTCATTCGTTTGGTTTTAAAAGATCGCAGTAGATCTAGTGTATCCCTCCGTAAAGATTTAGAAGCCCAATACCGAAACCTATGCCATGCTGAATCCTCTCATCCTGGACAGTTTGTTGATCAGAAATTGGAAGTCAAAAAACAACTTAAAGATTTGGATTCTATGGAATTTAAAGGTCATCTTATCCGGTCTAAGGC